AAAAAAATTATTTGTTTTATTAACTTATCACTAATTCTCCCTAAATTGAAAATATGGCTGTTTCTGCCAGTATTTATTGAAATAAGAGATTATCGGGAGGTTTGATGCAAAATGATAGTTTTATCCTGGTACAAAACAGATAATGTCCTAACAGTGAAGATGATGGAATCTTTGTATAAAAACAATTATTTAGTGAACTGACTTCAGTAACTTTTTTTTTTTTTTTTTTTTTTTGATACCAGAAATTGAATCCAGGGGCGCCTAACCACCGAGCTCTATCCCCAGCCCTTTTAAAAATATTTAATTTAGAGACAGGGTCTCGCTAAGTTGCTTAGGGCCTAAGTTGCCAAGGCTGGCTTTAAACTCATGATCCTCCTGCCTCAGCCTCCCAGCCCATTGGGATTACAGTCATACACAACCTCCTGTCTTCACTTCAGTAATTTTTTGAGATTAGAATGAAAATCCTTCCATATATACTATGATGCATTGTTAAGAGTTCACAGAAGGGCTGGGGATGTGGCTCAAGCGGTAGCACGCTCGCCTGGCATGCGTGCGGCCCGGGTTCGATCCTCAGCACCACATACAAACAAAGATGTTGTGTCTGCCAAAAACTAAAAATAAAAATATTAAAAAGAAAAATTCTCTCTCTCTCTCTCTCTCTCTCAAAAAAAAAAAAAAAAAGAGTTCACAGAAATCACCCACAATGTATTCATTCAAGTCTTGTAAAACAACTGGGGCTATAATTGAAGAAACACTTGTAGTTTTCTGTTTTTCCTCACTATTTAATCCTACAAACCCATTATGGAAGAGCAAGAATGAGTTAGTGCAACAAGTATATTTTTTAAAAGTTGATAGTAACATTAACAGCATTAATAAACTAAAAACCAGTAGTGTTATCTTTGTATGTTTGCCATAGTCATATTATACTTCTTGCTTCAGACTTTTTTTTCCCCAGACTAGGGATTGAACTCAGGCTTCAAAATGCTTGGCAAGCACTCTACCACTGAGCTAAACCGCCAGTCATTCAAATTTACTTATTTAATATCCTTCAAAATCTCCTTGCAGACAACTTTACATTTCTTTGTTGCTTTCACATTTTCTTAAGTTTAGGAATCAGAATCAGAATTTTTTATGATTTATATAAGAAAAAAATTAGAATGTTAGTGAACACTAAAAACACCAAAATTTAAATTTTAGAATTATCTCAATTTTACTCTGTATATTCCCTTCCTAGGATGAGTGACAAGCTCTAAGACCTTCAGTTTTGCTAAATTCATTAAATAATAATAAATAATAAATAAATTCAATAAAATTTGGATATAGGAAAAATCAAGTTAGCATTTAGCTTTTGGTTCTTAATCTGAATTATTTTAATAAAATGGATTTGCTTTTTTTTTGGGGGGGGTTTCTTTTTTTAGTTTCTTTTTGTTTTCTTCTTTGAGAAGGATGAGAGAGCTTGGTAAGATTCTAGGCTAGTTGATTCTCAAACATGAGTATATCAGAATAACTGAAGGGCTTGCTAAAAAACATTGCTGGCCCTCATCCCCAGTTTCTGATGCTATAGGTCTAAGGTGGACCCAGGAATGTGCATTTCTGACAAGTTCCCAGGTGATGTTAATACTGCTGGTTCAGAGGTCACAGTTTGAGAAGTGGTCTAAGTAATTTTCAGTAGCTAAAAGTAACTAGCGTACTGAAAACTTACTGTTGGCTAGGTGTTTTAGGAGTTTGACATTTACCTTCTCAAAAACTCTTTGGAGTAGACTGGGTCTCCATTTTGCAGAGAAGAATTTGAAGCTGTGAGAGGTTAAATGTCTCAGTTAATATCATGGAGCCAGGATTAGAACCCAGTGCAGCTTGCTTTCTCAACCTAGGCACTTAACCAATTACTGTGGTTGGCTCTTGCTTTAAAAATCTAAAATCATATATTTATAATTCTGAAATAAGTACTGCTATAGTTTGGATCTTGAGTGTGCCCCAAAGGCCCCTATATTGAAGGCTTGGTCCCCAGTCCATGTCATTACTGGTGTGTAATGAAGAAACCAACCAACCAAACAAACAAACAAACAAAAAAAACCCAACCAACCTTCTTTCAGTGAGTATAAGGATATGGTGATACAACAATAACCTCTATTCATGAGCTTTCTACATGGTAAATACTGTTCTGAGTATTTTGCAGCCATTGAATCCAAACATCACAACCACTGTAGGAGGGAAATACTGATATCCATGTCTTCATTGTATTAGGACAATAACTTATGGAACCTAAGTTTCTTTACTACACACTCCAAATGAGCCCAATGAATCAAGGAAAAGTTGTTGGGACAAGGAAAAAAATTATTCAGTAAGCCAGTAACAAAATGAAGTAACATCCTGAAAGACCATTTTGACACAAGTTTTAAACTCCTTTTACCTTTAGGAGGAAATGATTTGAAGAAACGTGGTAGCTAGTAATCTGTTGATTTGCATCAGTCTTGAAATGGGAGGAGATAACTTAGAGCAATTTGGGGTGAAACAACCTGGTGCTGCTAGTTCAAATGATTAATGAGGGCTTCCTACTCAGGGAGACATTGGCTTTTCCAGCAAAGAACAACTCAAACACCACTACATGACCTCTGAAATAGTTTATGTACACAATGAAATGAACAGGAAATGACTTGGTTTGAATAAAAACCCTTCTTTATTTTTACACTCTAATGCCCAAGACTTTTGAAACAAGTATGTATAAGGCAAGTTGTCATCACATTAGATTTAATTTCTCTCCCTCAAAATAGAATAACATTTATGAGATGGATCCCTTATACTTAAGCATCCTATATGTTCATTAAATGTATAAGAAATGGTGACTTAACACATTTTAATCCCCTCCTGTCTTAAATTGGTTACTTTTTAAATGACGAGGTCCACAGGAATTGCAAAAAAATGAGGCCATCTTTTCATCTCACATGAAAGAATTGTTAGTTGAAGTAACTTACAGAATAGCTGGCCAACCACGCAAGGAGGAACTAAATTAAATTTGTTCTATTTACATGCCACAATATGCACATTGTTTCGGTAGCACTTAATTTGTGAGGACACAAAGGCAGAGTATTCTGCCTTCAAATTCTGCATAGCTCTAGCCATGAAAGCCAGACTTGAAAATGTAGTTGCCTTAGTTATACTACAGAGCTACAGTAACAAAAATGGCATGTTACTAGCATTAAAACAGACACATAGAACAAGGGTACAGAAGACAGATGAACCTACAATCCTTGAAAAAGGGACCAGAAACATACACTGAAGAAAAAACAGCCTTAACGAATGGTGCTGGGAAAATTGGTTTGTCCACATGTAGAAAAGTGAAACTAGACCCTTATCTCTCACCTTACACAAAAATCAACTCAAAATGGATCAAAGACCTAGGAATTAGACCAGAAAATTTAGAACAGAAACAATGTAGGGTCAACACTCCAGCATATAAGCATAGGCAAGGACTTTCTCAATAGGACCCCTAAAGCTCAGGAAATAATGCTAAGGTTCATAAATGGGATGGCATCAATTAAGTTTTTGCACAGCAAAGGAAACAATTAGGAATGTGAAGAGAGAACCCACAGAATGGGAGAAAATTTTTACTAACTTCTGACAGAAGATTAATACAATAATATTATATATTAATAAAAATATATAAAGAACTCAAGCATTACCATCAAAAGAGGGGGGAAAAAAAAGCCAAAGCAACCCAATTAATAAGCGGGGAAATGAATTAAACAGGCATGTTTCAAAAGAAGAAATACAAACGGCCAACAAATATATGAAAAATATTCAAACATCACTAGTAATAAGGGAAATGCAAATCAAAATTATACTGAGATTTCATCTCCAATTAGAATGGCAGTCATCAAGAATAAAAAACAACAATAAATGCTGGATAGGATGTGGAGAAAAAGGAACACTTTTACTCTGTTGGTGGAATTGTGAATTAGAACGATCACTATGGAAATCAGTATGGAGGTTCCACAAAAGACTAGGCATGAAACCACCATATGACCCAGCTATACTACTCCTTGGTATCTACCCTAAATAATTAAAGTCATCATACTGTCGTGATACATGCATACTCGTGTTTATAGCAGCACAACTCATACTAGCAAACAAAGCTTAGGCGTCCATCAATAGATGAGGGATAAAGAAAATGTGGCATATATATACACAATGGAGTTTTATTCACCCATAAAGAAAAATGAATTCTGTCATTTATAGGAAAATGGATGAAACGTGAAGACTTTATGTTAAGCGAAATAAGTCAAATTCATAAAGTCAAGGGTGGTATGTTTTCTCTTTTGTGGAAGCTAGAGAGGAAAAAAAGAAAAGAAAGGTTTGTTGGGGGCGGAGATCATGAAAACCAACGGGAGATCAGTAGAACAGAGGAAAGCGGGGAGGGGGAGTTCTGGGGAGTGATATTGGCCAAATAATGTTGTTATATTGGGTACGTGTACGAATATGTAACAACAAACCCCATCGCTATGTACAACCACGATGCAGCAGTAGAAAAAAAGTGGGCCCTCCACAGTTGCCTCTGGTCATATTTAACTCCACATCCACTGGACAAACAACAAGCATTAAATTACTTTATTACCAGCCCTACACAGTCAGGCTCCGGGAAGGGCTGCTGGGTGAAAGAGCACAGAGGCCGCCCTCTACCTGGAGGGAGCCCGGGAGAGCGGTCGCTGGAGGCTGGGGGAGGGCGGGCTGAGCTCCCCGAGGTGATCTGAGGCCTGGGGCTTGTCCCCCGGGGCCGTCGTGGGTCCTCAGGGTGGCAACGGGGATTTCCGCAGGGCGAGGTTCATCTCGGGCTTGGAAGTTGGTGAGAATTTGTGGCTCACAGTTCCCCGCCCCACAGCCCCAGGAGCTCGGGACCGACGGGAAGTGGCCAGAGGGCGCTTCAACTCCGAGGGAGGCGCGGGGGGCGGCGGAGGCGGGGCCGGGCCGGGGCGGGCGAGGCGGGGCCGGCGCTGCAGCCCGGGGCTCCAGGAAGCGCGACGCTGGCAGCGCGCTGGGCGCTATGAGCTCGTCTCTGGGGTCTTGGGGTCCCAGCCCAGCAGGTAGGTGCGGGGCGCTGAGGGGCTCCGGGGAGGTGGGGGCGCGTGTGCAGACCCGAGGGCGCACGGGCTTCTCCGGTTTTGCTGGACGGCCTCCGGTAATTGCGGGTCTGGGGGTCAAGCGCTCGGGTGCGGTGGGGCCCGCTTTGCCTTTTAGCCCAGGGAACCCCTGGGGTCCGGGCACCGCCTTCTCGAAGCCTCTGTAGCGGCGCCCGGGGCTGGGCGTGTTGCTGCCGCCTTTGTCCCCCGCCGGGATCCCTGTCCAGGCGTCGGGGCCATTTAAACTTTAAAAGGCTGCGGCCCGCACACCCGACGCCTGGCCTTGTGAAAAGTTAACTTTGATTCTTGTTTGTTCACTTTGAAGTAAAAAGAAGTGGTCTTACGGGGTATTGCGGGAGCATCGTTAGCCGGCGGGTGCCCGGGCAGAGGCCCCTGGGGTTGCCTGGGCTTAACCCGAGGCAGCCTCCCGGTCTCCTGCTTCCAGGAAACCTGCTACTGTTGGACGGTTTGGATGGAAACCATAATAATAATAATAATAATAATAATAATAATAATAATAATAATTATACAAAGTAGTCAACTGCAAATCGTGCTTCAGGACGTTCTTCTGTCACTCATTTTATTACTGGTAAAGTTTAGAAACTTCAAGCCTGGCCATCGTTTTTAAAAAGGTGAAAATGCTAACAGCCGGTTGCAGAGCATCCTTATTTCAGAGCTTTCTTTGCTGCATAAAGGAAGCTTTACTCCAGAGGCAAGTTGTAAAAGTCACCGTGGTTGTGGGGTTAGTGGCCTTGGACTGGACGGACCAGCTTTTGAACGGAGGGAAGGAGCCAGCAGCTGAGTGGGAAGCCAGCAGGGGTCCAGGATGTCTGGGCTCTAGTCACTGCCACCCTTCCCCCAATCCTTTTCTTCGGATTTCTCACCTGCTTTCTTTCTCCACCCCTGCCTTTTCCAGTGAGTTCTAGGCCCAAGGTGGTTTATTTAATGTAGAGTTAGCAAACAGGTGGCTGATGGAGAATATGGGTAGGTTTTTTTTAGACGACAGAATGTACATCTAGTTTGGGAAGGTAGTAGTTCCATCTCTGGTGGGAGGGAGCCTGGTGATGTTGTGCAGAGACTTTGGAATCCACCTCCACCTGGCTTTCAATCCTAACTGCAGCGCTCTGACCTTGAGCAGACCAGTTCCACTTTCCCTATCCCTATGGCTATGTAGCTGGGTGAGATAAGGACCAATGGTAGCTGGTAGAATTATCTGAAGCAATTATGAAATTAGGGTGAGGGAAAAAAGGAGTGGTTAATTTGTAAAAAAATTAATCTGACTTAAGAAACAAGGAGGCAGGAGTTACATTATGGTGGAACAGAAAAGGAGAAGTGAGAAGGTTTAATGATGGAAACATTTTTGATAAATAGATACAGAATAAATAGAACAGGAATTTATACATCATATAGGGCAACTCATTAAAATTTGTTCTCTTGTCAATAAAGTAATTTATAGTTTTAGGCATTAAAAAAAAATTGTGGGTATTATAAGGGTGTTAAGTGTGCCCTTCTTGGAAGCTTTGATAGCTTGTTCTTATTGCTCAGGGTGGCCAGGATAGTTTATCAACTCCAGAAATGTGTTGGAACTTAGATCTTGACATATGTCTCTATGGCTGATTGGCTGCTCACTAGATTGATCATTGGCCCTGGTTATTACTTGGTATTATAGGACAGTGTGCTATTTATATTAAAGCCATTCAGGATGGTGGCACATGCCTGTAATCCCAGAGGCTGGAGGCTGAGGCAGGATGGCAGGTTCAAAGCCAGCCTCAGCAATTTAGTGAGGCCCTAAGCAATTCAGCAAGACCCTGTCTCTAAAAAAATACAAAAAATGGCTGGGGATGTGACTCACTCAGTGGTTGGGTACCTCTGCGTTCAATTCCTAGTACCAAAAAACAAAAAACAACAACAACAACAACAAAAAAACAAATTTAAGCGAAGGTTGAAGTGAGCCAAAGTTAGAACCAAAGTTTCCAAAGCTGAGTTTCTTTTTACACCTATAGAATTAACAACATCTAATTAACTAACTTACTTTCTTTCACAGTACTGAGGATTGAATCCAGGGGTGCTCAACCACAGATTACAGAGAACATTATTACATCATGATTATTGTCCCAGCCACCTGAGCTACATCACCAGCCCTTTATTATTTATCTATTTTGGAGGTACTGGAGATTGAACTCGGGTGCACTCAACCACTAAGCCACCTCCCCAGACCTATTTTGTTTATTACTGAGTTGCTTAGCCTTGCCATCCCAGAGGCTGGCTTTGAATTTACAATCCTCTTGTCTCAGTCTGTCAAGCCCCTGGGATTACAGGGGAGCACCACTGCCCCCAATTTATTATTATTATTATTATTATTATTATTATTATTATTATTGTTATTATTATTATTAATTTTGAGACACTGTCTCACTAATTTGCCCAGATTGGTCTCAAACTTGAGATCCTCCTGCATCAGCCTCCTGAGTTGCTGGGTTACAGGTGTGCCCCACTGTACTTGGCCATAAAAAACTTTTTAAAAATCCCTTGCTGAGATTGTTTGATTTGTTAACCTTGAAATCGGATGCCATTTTAAACAGATTTTCTTGAGCACTTAAAACTAACTAGCAGTTCCTAAATCTATAGGTCTTGACTAAAAAGAGGGAAATATTGAAGACAACTGAAACCCACATCTTAAGTTATACCATTTAGGAAGAATTGTGAAGTTCCTTTTTGAAGAATTCTGAAAAAGGAGCTTTAAATAGCCAGTCAAGAATTCATCTCCCGGGCTGGGGTTGTAGCTCAGTGGTAAGAGTGCTCGCCTAGCATGTGTGAGGCCCTGGGTTCGATCCTCAGCACCACATAAAAATAAATAAAGATATTATGCCCAGCTAAAGAATAAATATTAAAAAAAAAAAAAAAAAAAAAAGAATTCATCTCCAGAACTTTCACTCTCAGGGACTTGGGTTAGTTGATGACTGGCCATTTGGCATAGCTTCCTTCAGGTACACTTTGAGCTACCTTAGAGTCAGCACTCAGTGGCTACTTGGGCAGATGAGCTACAGGGTCTGCTACCTCCTTCTCCACCAACACCGAGACTGGGTACTTTCCAAGCTGTGCAGAATTCTTGGGGGTGAGAAAGATGGTTGGCTTTCTGACATGGATTTCATTTGCTTAGTTGAAAGTGATTCAACTGAGTCTTTTTTCTTTTAATATCTTTATTTTATTTATTTATCTTTTTTATGTAGTGCTGAGGATCGAATCCAGGGCCTCGCACATATGCACATACTAGGCAAGCGCTCTACTGCTGAGCCACAACTCCAGCCCTCAATTGAGTCTTTATAGTGTAATTGGCTAAAAGATAAGAGGTGAAGTTATCTAAAGAAAATAGGTGCAAGACAGCTTTTGAATGTGGAGAAACAAAGTCCTGTATTATTTCCACAGAGCAGTATGTGGAGTAGAAAGTACCTGGTTCCTTATGGTGAGATCAGATTGAAAAGCTATCTTATCTTTGGGCAACTGCCCTGACGGACACCTTGGAAGGGTGGAGATGATAAGGTCGAGGCTGCTTTTAGCTCTCAGGTGTAAAACTCACCTTGTTACAACTGCAGATTGTCATTCCATGCCTCCAAGATCCTGATTCTACAAATTCTGGTTTGGACCCAGAAACCTGCAAGTTAACATCCACACCAGGAACTCTGATGGAGGTTGAAAAATCTGACTTAGGGACAGAGGAATGAATGCCTTTGTGGGGTCTCCTTTGGGTCTGATTACTTGGGTTAATTCCAGGAGGTTATAGGCCAAAGGGAACTTGAGCCAAATTCCCCACCTTTCACTCTCAGGGTGTTTCTTCAGGGAAAAGTGAGGTTAGTACAATTAGGTGTCGGTGAGACCCTCTAGGATGGAGGGGAACATAACACTCTTGGGTAGGAGTCCATACCTTAGGGTCATTCTGCTGCAGCCAATAGGTGCCTCTTTCTACATGATAATATTTTTGCAAATTCATTCTCTCATTATTGTAGAAGGTACTACACTTGTTGTATTGAAGCCACTGCCCATAAGTGGCTATTTATATTTAAATTAATTGAGAACTGGGTGGTTGGTGCAAGCTTGTAGTACCTATATTCTCAGCTGCTCCAGGCTGAGGTAGGTGGTTTCCTAGAGGCTGGGAGTTCCCTGCTAGTCTGGGTAACACAATGAGTCCCTGAGAAAAATAAGTTGAATTTAATTGAGAGCGTTGAGTACTTCAGTTGCACTAGCTGCATTTCACATGCTTAATAGCCACATGTGGCCAGTGGCTACCACATGGGTCATTGCAGATGCAAAACAGTTCTATCAACAGAGAAAGTTCTATCACGTAGCACTGCTCTAGAGAGCAGGAAATAGGAAAGGATGCAGTGAAAAGCTGCCCACAGGGTGGGGAAGTGGGATCAGGAGTGGAGAGGGGAGTGGGCACGTATCCCATTTTATCAGTGCTGATGTTCTTTCAGGAGATCCAGGATCTGAGCCTTTAAAGGCCTTACCTTTCCTTTCTTCCACCCAAACTTTTGCCTCTTCCTAGGTTGACCACAACCTGGATTTTCGTTCTCTGGTATGATTCAGTTTGTTTCAGAAAATATTTGTAAAAACATTTTCTACGTAACAAAGCCATTACGTATTTCATTTGAGTCCCATCATCACAGAACTGTGTGACTCTAGGCATATTTTGTGGTGGATGCATCTGGGAAAAGTTTTCTCCATTTCTGTCTGTAAGATGATTGGCTATTTTGCAGGTAAGAGTTGGTGAGAAAGTATTGCACTGTTTTAGCTCCTTTGTTTATTACTAAGCAGTTTTCTTCCCTTCTAAAGGTCTTAAAGTTTATAAGTTAGAAGGGGGATAGCAGTTCCTGCTGTACTTTTCTACCATAAGTCAAAAAGTATAATAAGTAAAATAATTAATAAAAATAAACTTTTTTTTTTTTTTTTTAACAGGTGGGGAACAAAACATGACAGAAATAGATGCCTACTATAAAAGGTAAAAGTGTGTTCTTCCCAAATAAAGGTCTTGTTACTGGCAGCCAAGCCAAGGAATCCTGTGTGGATCCGAGTTGGCTGGATTCAACCACCTGCATAATAAATAGGCAAAGGATGGAAGAGGAAAAATGAATTTTATACAGTTTGATCAAACTGGGGAGAAACAGCTAGGTTGTTTTTCTGCAGTCCCACAGAAGCAGTTACGATTTATAGAAACAGGTGATATATATACTTGTCAAAGTAAGTAGGCTATGTTAATCAGAGAACATGTCAGTCTTAAATTTCCTTGGCCTCTGTCCTCAGCATGAGGAAGTCCAGAAGTTAAAACAATTTGGAGCTTTTCATTTCAAAGGGGGTCTGTTTCATTCTCTTTCTTTGTAGGTCATGGTCATCCTACAGAGTAAAAGCAAGAATGGATTCTGGGAGCTAGAGCATACATAGAGCTGAGTATATTAAAAGTGTTAGCCTTTGAGGAACTGATTTATAGATCTGAGGGTTAGTTGCTGCCCCTGGTTGTTAGAGGACCTTGAGTGATGTTCAAAATATTTAATAACTTATATGAGCCTAGTGTTAGAGCTTGGCCTTGAACCAGACTGTTGTCCTTGGTGGCTAAAGGTGGTGGGGGGGTAGGGGGGAAACATCAAAACCAAGTGGTTGGGGTGGGTGTTCAGGATGACACATGGCTGTGGCCTACTGATGGGTCTAGAAGTAGTTCAGCACTTTTCTTGCCAGTCCAGCCTTCTTCAGGGGACACCTGTGGAATTTCAGCCTGGTAGGTGGAAGCAGCAGATATCCATCTACACATTGACCTTGGCCTTAGAAGGGCTTACTATTTAATATGACTTGAAGTGATTGCTTTCTAAATTTTTCATTAACAGTGAAATGTTTGATCCATCAGAGAAGTACAAAATGGACCACAAGAGGAGAGGACTTGCTCTAATCTTCAATCACGAGAGATTCTACTGGCAGTTGATGCTGCCGGAGAGGCGAGGCACCAGTGCAGACAGAGAGAACCTTACTCGCAGGTAGTTTGCTGTGTGTGTCCAGATGACACAATTCAATTAAGTGATAACGGAAATTGTTACCATAACTCATGAGCATTGATAACAGATCAAAGGCCTTACTTGGCCACAGTTCATGAAGCAGGAAGTGCGGGCTCAATCCCCAGTACCACATAACAAATCCCCCCCAAAAGAACACCTTCCTAAAGCGCTTGCCTGAGTTATCTTCCTTCTCCTGTTCTATTAAATGTTAGCAGGCTTTGCATTGTTACCAACATTCTTGCATGGCAGGTGGCAATATTTAAAATTGAATTGGCTGTCATTATGTAAAGCCTTTGCGATAGTGGATGATCAAGGACCGACCATCATTATTATTTTTTTCTTTTCCCCTAAAGGAAAGTTGATTTGCATGTCATAAAAAAATGTGTATAGACTCCTCAGAAGTAAGGGTATTTTGACAACTGAAAAATGCTCATAAGCTAATATTCAATTTAATATATCACCAGGTTTTCAGATCTAGGATTTGAAGTGAAATGCTTTAATGATCTTAAAACAGAAGAACTGATGCTCAAAATTCATGAGGGTAGGTAGTTTTGCTATTAAATAGCTCACCTTCCTCTGATGGGACTTTATATTATCTGTAAAGACAAATATAAATTACTGTGTGGCACAAAAAGTGCTACTAATTTAGCATGGATATGGTATTTGGTTATGCCCCTCTATATCACCCACTAAATCCAGACACCTTACAAATCACTTTGCCTCTGAAGCTTATATTTAGCATATCACTAGTTACAGTTTATTGTTCTAGAAATGAATGAACTCTAAATTCAGTGGTGAAAATCTAAAATGCAAATTCTACAGATACTGGTGCTTCAGAAGGTTCATTTTTAACGGATTCCTTTCATACCCCAGATTTTCACTGCCTGTGAAATATTTGCAATATGTGTTGATTTGCAAATATTATATCTTAACATCATTATTCAGTGGGTATTGTAATATAACTTATAACCATCTGTATGTCATGGGTTTTCAACTTACTTGCTAGTGGGCTATTAGAGTTTGTATTATAATTATTTCAAACTTTCTTCAGACTTGTAATTAAATTGCAAATCACTTTACTGGCTGCTTACTAGGTTTCCTTTTTGCTCATTGACTCACATCTTAACTCTTCTGGAAGCCCTCAGTGGTACAGACAGAGCATGCCTGTGTTGGAGGTGTAGCCACATGTGGGCAGTTGTTGAGAGGTAGTTTCTGGATCTTTCCAGTCTGCTCTAGGAAGGTTTCTGCTGACTCAAAAAAACTTTTAATTTATTATCAGAACAATTTCAATCTTAAAGGAAGAGATGCCATCATCATTTCTTTATGTTTTATGCATCATTATTCTGTGTTTAAGAAAAGCTAATGAAATTTGGTCAGTCTCTTTCTTTGAACTTCAGTAATTCACATTTTTAAGATACAATTTGGTATAAATTATCCCATTTAAGTAAAGATTAAAATAAATTATTTCATCACAGATTCTTTACATTTATTAAAGAATACCAGGCTGGGCACAGTGGCACACACTTATAATCCCAGCAACTCAGAAGGCTGAGACAGAAGAGTGGCAAGTTCAAAGTGAGCCTCAGCAATTTAGCAAAACCCTGAGCAACTTAGTGAGACCCTGTCTCAAAATATAAAAAGGGCTAGAGTTGTAGCTCTGTGGAAAGTGCCCCCGGGGTTCAATTTTTAGTACCAAAAAAAAAAAAAAGAATACCAAGTCCCCCTCATCATGACTATCTTTCTTCTACTATTGAATTTTTATGTGTAGATAACAAATATCTTGTGCTCAATTCTATATGCATTTTTGGGGTCCTGCACAGTGTCAACTTCCAGCCATGTAGATGCCGATTGCTTTTTATGTGTCTTCCTAAGCCACGGCGAAGGCAATCACATTTATGCACATGATGGCAAAATTGATATTCAGACACTGACTGGCTTGTTCAAAGGAGACAAGTGTAAGAGCCTGGTTGGAAAACCCAAGATATTTATCATTCAGGTAAGACTGATCATATTATCCTCTTAATTGTAAATCTATGGTTCAGTACATGTGATTGTAAAAAAGCCAATTTTGAAAGTATCTTTCTCTAGTAATTGGTCAATCAGAATTGCACTTTGAGCTGTGATATTTCTTTCTTAATATGGTCGGTGTCTTCATTACAAATGAAATGGTATTTGGATCAACATTTGAAATGATATAAAATATACGCTTCTCTCTGGCCAAGCTTGGTATAGAGGGAGCATCGCTGAAAAAGGATCTGCTCTCTGACATGACCAGGCAAAGCAGCCTGATCAGACTCAACTTGGTCTGCAGGAGCTGGAGAGCACATAAGACAGTGGAGAGAATATGAGAATAGAGAGTGTCAGTCTAGCCTGCCTTGATCTTTTCCTATTTCCCCTAAATCCAGGATTTTTTTTTTAACTCAGGGGCACTCAATCACTGAGCCACATCTCCATCCCTATTTTGTATTTTATTTAGAGACAGGATCTCACTGTGTTGCTTAGTACCTTGTTTTTGCTGAGGTTGGCTTTGAATTCTCGATCCTCCTGAGCCACTGGGATTACAGGCATGCACCACTGTGCCCAGCTAAATCCAGGATTATTTCCTTCTTGCCAAATTGGATTTAAGGATAAAAATATTTGGGGGCATGAATAATATCATTTGGCACATCAGTAATTTTGAAGGAAAAGAAAGAAAACCATCCAGGTTTGATGGCCCTACCTGTAATCTCAGCAACTCTGGAGGTTGAGGCAGGAGGATCACAAGTTCGAGACCAGTATCAGCAATTTAGCAAGGCCATAAGTAACTTAGCAAGTCCCTGTCTCAAAATAAAAAATAAACAGTAGAAAGGGCTGAGGCTGTAGCTCAGTGGTTAAGTGTCCCTGGTTTCGATCCCCAGTATTTAAAAAAAAAAAAAAAAAGGCAGGACTTGGGGTGATAGGATATGGAAACCTGGTGGTCCAGTGCTATAATTCTGTATGTTCATGAATGGCCTAGAGGGCATGGAATCAAGTGATACCACATGTTGCCCTAAAGCCTTGAAGATGGAGGTGGCTATAAGAAAAGCTAAGGATGGTTTGAACAGTACACTGGAGTGTGTGTCTGTCACAGAGTGAAGGACACAAGCCTAGAACCTAGGCAAGTGGCCTGGGCTGCAGAAGTAAACTTGGGAGTAATCAGGAAATGGTTGGTAACAGAAATCATGGAAGTAGGTGAGTTTACCAATGTTGAATGTAGCCTGAAAAATGAGTGTAAAACTTGAAGGATACTGGTGGGTAATGAGCTGAGGAGGATGGCCCTGAACAGAAAAATGAAGAGAGAAAATGACTGATGAAAAGGGGAGTGGCCAACTCTAAACGAAACAGAACTGGAAATAAATAATGAGCTACTATAGGAGGAGAGCCCTCCCACAAAAGAGCCAAGTTACTGTCTTTCTTTCCACCTCAGATTTGTTTCTGTTCTTTGGGACTGGGTCTCACTATGCTGCAGTCTGGCCTTAAACTTGGCATGTGATTTCATCAAGTTATTGGTATTTAATACTAAGATTTATCTCTGTAAAAATAGAATGTTAGGGATATCTTCTGTTTATATGCCAACTCTGAAATCACTCAGGACTGTTTCTTTTGATGATTGTGGTTGTTTAGCCATTTCAAAATTAATTGATGCATTTAAAATGGTACAACAGAATCTTTTAGGTCACTATCTAGTTTATGGGGCTGTCGTAACTAAGTACCACAGACTTTGTGGCTTAAACAACTGAACTTTTCCTTCCTCTGTTCTGGAGACTGGAAGACTGAGATCAAGGAGTTGGCAGGATCGGTTTCTCCTGAGCCTTTCCCCTTGACTTGTACATAGCCATCTTTTCCCTGTGTCTTCACGTGAGCTTCCTTCTGTGTATGTGTCTATCCTCATCTCTTCTCAAAGGATACCAATCATACTGGACTAGGGCCCCCATATAACTTCATTCTAAATCACCCCTTAAAGGCCCTGTCTCCAAATACAAGCACATTTTGAGGTACTGGGGCCAGGAATTCAGCATATGAATTGAGGCGTGGGACACAAGTAAGCCTATAATACTTAAAAGTAGAATTTAAGGTTAGCTTCTGAGTGAGTCAGAATTAGTAGAGGCAGATTTGTAACCTCACTTAAAAGTGAGAACAAAAGAAAGGTACGATGACAGGCTCTTCTCAGGTCAGGGGGCATCATTTTGACTACTGACAAGTTTATGGTGGCTGCCAACCAATAGGAAAACACCATCTGGAAATATATAACCTGATTTAAAAATTAGGTAAATACTATAACATTTAATAGAATGTGACTCTTGGTGCTACGGATGTGGTTAATGTGTAAGAAATTTTAAAACTGTAACATGCATTTTCCTTCTCTACAGTGTATACCTTTCAACAGTTTGGTGTGTACTTGGGGATACTAATTATTTTTAAAACATCAGCTAAAGGAAATGTAAGGGGAGCTAAACTTTGTCAGCTTTAGTTCCCTTGATCCCCTCTAAACCCAAATGCACAGTTTTTCAGCTGTTCATAGTGTGGTTTCAGTTACAGATATGAGAGAGGTGCTGATTTTTTTTTTTTTGAGATGTGCTGATTTATATACATTTACTCTAAATGTTAAGTCCCAGGAAGGAAACAGTTGATAAAGAAGGTGGTTTCTTTCTCTGTTTTGTAGGCGTGTCGGGGAAACCAGCATGATGTGCCAGTAACTCCTTTGGATGTGGTGGATCATCAGACGGACAAGCTCGACAATGTAACTGAGGTGGACGCTGCCTCCATGTACACGCTGCCTGCTGGAGCAGACTTCCTTATGTGCTACTCTGTTGCAGAAGGTGAGTGGGTGTTTTACAACATAGAGTTGGCTGTCCTGGCTAAGTTCCCGTAAGTCTCAGATTGGAGTTGGATCAGGGCTTTGAGGATCAACCACCATGTCCAACAAAGACAGAGAAGTGACCTAACACATGGCATAGAGTAGAAAATGAGTGTGTAAAATACCTTATAGAAGAATTGTTTCTGAGTGCTATGGCGAGCAAAACAAGTCTAATGATACCAAATACTAGCAGCCTGCTCTCATTGATTGATGGTGGTAATGCCATTGTGGTAATATCCATGGAAAGCATTGCTGAAAAATATTCTATAGCAATTCTTCTTTGCTACTATAGTTACTGATTTTGACATCTTATTTTGCACCTTAAGATCACTAGCTACCATGTTGAGTTTTTTTTTAGCTAATGGAGAAAATTATATAGAAATAACCTCATTTATATAAAACTAGAATTATCTGGGCCTGGTGGTACATGTCTGTCTCATAGACTGAGGCAGGAGGGTGGCAAGTTCCAGGAGAACTGGGAAAGTTAGCAAGACCCTGCCTCCAAATAAAAGGGGCAGAGGATGTACCTCTTATAGAGTGCTTACCTAGCATGTGCAAGATCTTGGGATCAATCCTCAGTACTACAAAAATGAAATAACAATAAAGTAGAAATATAGAAATAATATATTTTCTTACATGAGAATAGTCAACAGAAAAAATTTCAAACCATTATCATAGACATGGCTTAATCTTTTCCAAAGATTTGGAACACACACTTCTGTAAACCATGAATCATAAAAGTGCTTTTATTCCCCCCCCCCCCCGCCCCCGCCCAGTACTGGGGATTGGATTCAATAGTGCTCACCACTGAGCTGCATTTGATATAGAATCTCACTAAGTTGCTCAGGCTGGTCTTGAACTTGTGATTCTCCTGCTTGGCCTTCCGAGTCTCTGGGATTATAGGTGTGCATCCAACTACAAAAGTGGGTAGTTTTCAATCACTTCAAGTCAAAAGAGAGAAAACTACAGTTTCCTTTTTCTTCATTGTTTTTTTAAAAAATTTTTTAAATTTTTTTTAGGATATTATTCTCATCGAGAAACTGTGAATGGCTCATGGTACATTCAAGATCTGTGTGAGATGCTGGGAAAATATGGCTCCTCCTTAGAGTTCACGGAACTCCTCACTCTGGTGAATAGGAAGGTTTCTCAGCGCCGAGTGGACTTTTGCAAAGATCCAAATGCAATTGGCAAGAAGCAGGTTCCCTGCTTTGCCTCCATGCTAACTAAAAAGCTGCATTTCTCTCCAAAATCTAGTAAGTAGGAGCCACTTTGACTTACTATATGTATTCTGTATATATTTCCCTTTTTACATAAAATAGCATCACTAAATTGGAGAAGTTTAAAATGTTTCCAGGCTTAATGCCCAGTAGAGAACTGCTTTTTAAAATTTTTAAAAAAATCATGTTGCACATGGTGAAAGGGTTTGAGAAGAAATCCTCAGGAATTTATTATACATAAAAAAATATTTTTTCTTTCTTATTTTAGTAAACTGCAAGGTTACCAATAATATTTAGCTGATTTAACTTGTATTTTGTGACTTTTTTATAAAGGCTCATTGCATAATATTTTTGAAACCTAAGAATTAGGTAAATTGGTTTTCCTTGATAAGATACTTGAAATTCATGTTTTATTAAATTTTTCTGAGTCATATTCTTATTTGTGCAATTGTAGTGGACTTGTTTTACTTGGTTATATATGTTTACTGTCTCATCTAAATAGGAATAACCACATTTTTAAATATGACTTTAACTCCCATTTAAAAAAAAAAAAAACCTTCAAGAACTAGTTTATGAACTTATGAGGGTGAATACAGTTCACAGTAATTCTTGGGCACGGTAGGATAAACACCTGCAAAACATGATTTGGCAGCATCTTCCACTTCCAGTTACATTGTTCAACCATCATCAGACTCATTCACTGACTGTCACATTAACAGAATAACATATTACTTTTAAAGCTTAGTTCTTATATACATATAAAATTTGAATAATACTGTCTGATAGTAACTTGTTGGGATGAAGAAGATTAAATGTTTGGGCTTTGAGAACTGGGACATGTGAGCTGCTAGTTCAAAAGCAATACTTAGCTTGTATTTCAGATGCAGTTCAGAAAATACCAACTGCAGTTAGAGACAAAACATACCTTTTTGATAAAGGTCTTCTAATTACTGAGTGTGAAAAAAAGGAGTTAATGACAAATCAATTCCAAGCAAAGCCTGAGATTGAAAGTGGATGCCAAGCACACAGACTGCTTTGCCTCCACAAAGGGATGGACACAGGTCAGGGTGGTGAGGATTTTTAGCCGACTGCAGCAGCTGCTGCTTGGAAGAGGCAGACAGGCTGTCTACAATAACAAGTCACGGACATCTACACACCAATAATGTCAAGTGAAAACTTTTTTAAGTACTTCTGTTTTACATGAATTTATTAACTAAAAAGATTAGACAGTAAAATTAAAATGAACTATGAGACTCAAAAACATCCAGTTTGGAAATTACAAAATCAATACAAAATGGAAAATCCAATGGTGTTTAAAAATGTGAGATTAATTCTTATTCACTGAGTTCTTCTACTTGGCATCTTCAAGTAGAGAGAATGGCGCACACGTTTCAGGGCTTCTTTAGCCTGTCATGGGAAAAAGCAGAAGCACAAGATCAGAGAAGAAGAGAAACTGGCATTAATGCCTGGAATTCTATATAGTTAATGTCTTCTTTGGGGAATGAGTATTTAAACTGTTAGCACAAATGCCATAGTTATTTCAATTTTATATGAATCCTTTTTAAAAGATGAGTTTATGGTTTCTACTTCATCCATATGCTTTAAAATATTAGTTCATTCCCTTTGAAATGTTTTTTCCAGTTCATATTCTAAAAAAAATAAACTCTTGTGACCTATAAGTTTCCCCTTTTCTCTTCACTTTATTACCTAAAAATAATAAATACTTTACAAGATGATATATTATATCTTAAATGCTGTGTCCCATAAACTAGCTGGAAGAAGATTCCTTAGCCTTGGATTGTTTAAATGTTAGGGAAACTACAAAAGGAAAAAAAATTATTATATTCTCCTATATAATGATAATATGAAATATTTTTTAAAGTTCTTTAATTTTGGCTTACAAATTCTAGTAATTTTTTTTTTTTAATTTCAAGGGTGGATAGTTTAAAAGACACAAATAAAACAAAAGACAGGGAGGATATTTTTACCAAGACTTTGTTAAAAAAAATTACTAAGAAAAGTGAAAAATCCAGTTATGTGCTGAGAAGTGCATCCGAATAAAGTTAATACATTGGGAGGCCAGAGATAAAAGCTGCCTAAGGAACAGATGGTGAAAAAAACACTTAAGAACTGACAGGCTTGAAGTTTGATAGGCTCACTTGCCCTTCTAGAAGTGTACACTTGGGTAAGTAACTTTAAAGCCCGTTTCCTCATCTGAAAGGGGAAGGGGTGAGAGGAGGAATACTATAATTCTTCTACTTGAAGGGAAATAAACATAAATAAATGCCTTTAGAGTTTAAAATTCCCATCAGTGTTTATCTTTCTACAGTTCTACTTTCTATTTGCTTAGAAACAGATTTCTAGTGAAAACTTTATTTTTTCTATTTCAAACTCATAAGACATTTTCACATACATTTAAAACTATCCCCATGTATAGTACAGAAGAATAAAGTTAATATCAGATATGTCACCAATTTTGTGAACCAGTCCTGCTATACACAGAAATCTCTCTAGAGACTAGCCTGTGAGGAGGACCCAACAATTGCATTTCCCTCCCTCAGTCCTGGGTCCCCAACATAACCAGCCGTGAGATGTATTTTATACCGTAGCAAGGTCGTCTTTTAACTTGTTGTATTGTTCCACATCAAAATGCTGTTGCTCTGATTTCTTATGGAAGAACTGAAGCAATTGCCTTCTGCTAATCAATGTGTAAGTATAATTCTAAAGAAAAGAAAACAGCATGTGTTGAATGAACATACTGCCTCTTGAGGAAAGATATTTGACTTAGCAACACCAAAGCAAGGGGAAGGCAGAAGAATGAAAAAAATATTTGCAGTGGCTACTAGAGCAAACATAAGCCAACACAACTAGAACATTTAGTCTTGTTTAATATCAGCTGCTCCTTTCACAAGCAAGCAAGTTGGTAAGAGAAATTAAGAATAGGAAAAAAATGCGAAGGGAGATTTTTGGCAAAACTACCATGAATTACTTGGTATTTTGCAATGCAACTTCAATTTTATTTTATGAATGAAGTTATGAAGAACACAAATAGGACAAATTATCCCAATGGAGGAATTTGTGTTATTCACTCGAGATTTTATATAGTTTATTTGTGCTGTAATTCTCCATCTAGTCTGGTGAAAATAACAAAAATTCGCCAGCTCATGAAGACCCAGATAGCAGTACTCAGTAAAGGTTTTATTGCTTGGCTTGGGTAAGAAATTCCTTGCAAAATGTTTGAACTTACTTCCTAACTACTCACCTGTCGAGTTAGTATAAAGTATGCAAAATAGATCATGGAATTTGTAAATGTGAGGAAGTATGTGACTGGTTCCATGATATCCCAGGAGTACACCCACCAGGTGAACCAGGCCAGTGCCCCACCCTGAACTGACAGCAGAGCTAATCCAGCCCATAGGAGTCCTCTGGTTTTGGCCTCAGAGCGAGCTTCAATTCTAGCTTTCACCTAGAAGGCATGGGAAGGGGGAAGACCATTAATTCAGTTTATAGGTGCATCAGCTTAAGGGGAAAAAGCAAGAGCAATATTTGAACCAGTGCATGCCTGCATTACTTTATAAAGAGATCAGGTATATGGAGAGATACTTTATAAAACATCATATTAATTACTCATTTCCACATCAGTTCATTAATAGTTCTCTTTTAAATTATAAAGGTAATAAACAAAACCAAAACCCTAGTATAAAAGGGCATATGATGGAAAACCCAGAAGTCATCCTTTGAAACCTAATTAAAGGGAAATTGCATGGTAATGGAGGGAGACCCTCATTGTTATACAAAATTACATATAAGAGGTTGTGAGGGGAATGGGAAAATAAACAAGGAGAGAAATGAATTACAGTAGGTGGGGTAGAGAGAGAAGATGGGAGGGGAGGGGAGGGGGGATAGTAGAGGATAGGAAAGGTAGCAGAATACAACAGTTACTAATAGGGCATTATGTAAAAATGTGGATGTGTAACCGATGTGATTCTGCAATCTGTATTTGGGGTAAAATTGGGAGTTCATAACCAACTTGAATCTAATGTATGAAATATGATATGTCAAGAGCTTTGTAATGTTTTGAACAACCAATAAAAAAAAAATTATAGGCCCATTTTCTTTGACCTAGCAACTCTGCTTCTAGGAATTCATCCAGAGGCACACTTGTACACGAGACTCAGTGCAGATTCATTTCTTAATGCAAAAGGCCAAATTAACCCACGTTGCATCAGGTATTATGTGATTACAATGAGGCTTCTATGTGCGAACTAGAGAGTTCCAGTGAAAGGTAAGAATATGTAGAGAGAAAATAAAAAATGAGCCATAGGTAGGAGTACAGTAGCTCAAAGTACAGGACAACAGGAAAAGTATCCATGGGCACCTTTTTATATCTTTAAAAAGCAAAAAATAAAAATGTGCATAAGCAATCCAGAAAAATAAAATGAAAGTTCCTCTCTCCGGCACTAAATACCCTTAAACACTATTAAAAATTATATCTCAAGAAACTTATTTGTGGACAAGGTACACATATACCCTCCCATTTAAAAAAAAATTAAAAACGAGATTTTATCCCCTGAAACAAATTGCTTCACCCTACACTGCAAATAAGTCAGTTATTCTTTTTTTTTCCATCACAGATTAACCTCAAATGTCAGGAAGCCATTGCTAACTTCCCAGGCTCAATTCTGTTAAGCAGAACAAGAGCCTGTGAGGTAACACTCCCAAGTAGTGCATCCCAGCTCATATACTACTTATTTACAGGGCTGATCCTCTCCAGGCAGCTCAGTGGTCAGACTGCCCAAGTTCATGTTCACACTGGACCACATACTAGTTGTCTATCTCTATTGTCCAGTTTCTTCATCTGCATATAAGGAAGAAAACGGAACTGAGACTCATGAGAATTAAAAGGAGGAAACTGAGCATATGTAAAGCATTCAGAAAAATGCTCACACGAGGGACACTTAATAATGCACAATAATGTCAGTCTGGTGTTCAAATACAGGCTATGAAGCTTCCTGACCTGCTCAAGGGGCTGCAGCTGTTCCTTCAGGTGGTCAATTTTCTCCAACAAGTGTTGTTCTCTTTTCTTCTGAGAGTCTTCTAAATGTAGGACTGTGAACAGTCTGTGAACCAAGGATTTCACACTTTCCATCTCAGTCATGTGCACACAGCTTGATTTTTCTGGCGGGGGGGGGGAAGGAAATATGATGGAAATCACTACACTATTTCCTTCTGTGTGAGTCCAAGGAGCCAATCTGAGTCCCAGTGCCTGGCTATCTGCATACCACACCTCCTAGGGAGGCATCTGGTGTTGGTCTGTTCTATTTTAGATAATTTGATTAGTCGATCCTAATAAGGCAATCTATAATGATAAATTATAAGACAGTTGATTTAAATTCATTATGTTTGTCTTTTGTAACATGACTTTTGCTATTGCTTTAAAAATATACATACAGGAAGTGTAAGATGACTACCTCACCTTTATGGGTTTATGGAGTCACGGGCTCACTTTTATACCTGAGCTCAACCTTACATCCCATATCCCGCTCTCTGTCCCCATCTTTCCAACAGTTATGTCAGAATCCACAGGGGAAGGAAGCTAGGATACAGCCAAGTAAACAAAGGTAAAATACACATCTGAAAAGCAGTTCAAGTGTAAGTTCTTTTCAGCAAATGGAGTCATAATAAATGTAGAACTGAAAGGCAATTCATATATGCATTTTGGGGGGGGAAATGAGTGTAGGAGACCAAAATTATGCCGTCTCCAAAATGTGACACTTTGCCTTAAGGATTATTTTAAGCTGAAGGCATGTAACGTGCAGACACAATAAAAGCTCTCTGGTCTCCCTCTAAAATCAAAAGCAACTTCTTCAAGCTGAGAATAAAAACTACCTCCTGCCCTGGCTTTCTGTCCCACAATCTGTGTTCTCTTAATAAAAGCTTTTCTTGATCTAGAGTTCTTTGAAGATGGTGATTTGAAACAAACACAAAAAAGTTTCCTCTATCTTCCTGCAAAGCTGGCTTTGAATGAAGCCCATTTTCCTGCCAACTTGACCCTTGAGTGTCTGTGGAGTGGCAGCAGTAGAGCCCTGCCTCTTGCCCCTTGTACAGTAACAGTTCCTCAGGGGGACACCTCTGCCTGCCAAAATACAGGCCACAGATTTACAAAGGTTTCCCCTCCCCACTCCACCAGGCAGAACAAAGGTGGGTCACTAAAGACAAATGTAGACCCTTTTCAGCCCAGAGATGGCACTGGAGCGATCTCCCTGACAAATCTTACTAGATTTTATCTACCATTAACTAGCTTACTAGCCTTCCCACATTTGCTGTCCCAAGAGACTCAGGGTCCTTTTCATTTGTCTTGGCACTTTTCTAAAACATGTTGTTCTTTGTTAAAGATGTTATATAGGCAGGAATGCTGAGCCACCTCTCTGAGAATCACTGTGTGTATGAAATGTACACATTAATAAACTACTATTTGTTTTTCCTAATCTGTCTCTTGTTACAAGGGTCTATTTTCAGACATGAAGAGAAGAGGCAAAATTATTTTTTTCAATCCCCACAGGAGTCCCAATTTCAGAGTTTTTAACATAGTGCTCTTTTGATTATGGATTTCACATCTTTCCTCTTCTGTGGTTTTATAAATTCACATAAAATTAGGCTGTGATGATACCTTTCTGTTTACCAATGCTACTAAGAGGGAGAGCAGACATGCCAGCCAGGCAGCAGGAAACAGCTGCACATCAGGAAACAGGTGGTCCCACAATCAGTATCAGCTGCTGGTTTTCCATTCATGCCAATAGTTGTGGAGTTATTTTTCTTCCATTGCCACCTAGTTCTTCAAGTTTTGATGTGGTTTTTAATTTCTTCCATGTTCTAGGCTAAAGTTGTCACAGAGGGGTGCAAACTAGCTTGTAGCCTTCTGAAATCCACACAAGACTCAAAAGTTCTTTACCATGAAAAACACTGACAATTAAAAGGTCTGAATGCAAAAGGAAGATACAGACAGGCACAATTGTGTTCAAAGCCACGGAGTATAATAAAGACCAACAGAACTGGATATTAATGAAGTAAAGATACATTTATTTACTTTTGTACTGCTGGGGATTGAACCCAGGGCCTTGCACATTTTAGGCAAGCACTCTATCACTGAGCAACATCCCCAGAAAAGATTTTTCTTAAAAACTACTACAATAGGGATGGGGGCCCAGCATGAAGTGAACTGAACCCGACTTCAATTTATATAGAGGTTGCTAGATGTTTTAAAAGAAGAATAAAAGAATAGGGAGGGAGATTAGCAGGGGTCTGAGCAGTCAGGAAAGTAGAAATTTATCAAAAGAGGATGGGAGTCAATATGACTAGGCATGGGGTTTGTTCACTGCACCTATTCAGAGGAGAAACTAATTACATCTTCCTGACAGGAGGGCCCGGAGCAAATCAGAGCCAGGTCAAGAGTTAAGTCCATGAATACCTGCATTTCAAAGAAAGCTCTCAGGTCCTGAGAAGACAGGTCCAGGTGGTAGATGTACACTTCTAAGGGGCAGAGAAGGGTTTAAAACTGCAAGCATTCTAAAGTAACTACTCTAAGAGGGTTTCAGGGGCTTATTGGCCTATCACCAGGTTTTGGTGGGAACAAACCAAATTCTCATGACAGTGTTGAGCTCTTCCAGCTAGGCATTTTAAGGGGGCTAGAGTTATTCTAGAGATGAGACTGTGAACTGTCAGAAACTGTGCAATGTTTGTTCAAGTCTTAGATGTAAAAGGGAGGGAATGCAGACATATATATGCGCATCATATCACTTGTGCTGAGAATGTGCAGCAGTTTATATAGACCAAAACTAAAGCCTAATTAAACAGAGGGCTTGAAAGAGCCTGATTGGAGTTTGGTCAAGGTGTCTTTAAGATGCTTTTCTAAATAAAAAGAATAAATGAAAAAGAATAATGCAATGATTCAAAACAAAACAAAAAATGCTTTTCTGAGTTTATGACAAGTGCCTTTGGCCCTGCTTTTCCACAACTACAAGCACTATATACTTTATATGTTAAAACACCAACCTAAGCTAGCATTGTGGCATCACCTTATAAAGATCAAATATGATCCCAGCAGCTTGGGAGGCTAAGGCAGGAGGATCATGAGTTGGAGGCCAGCCTCAGCAAGTTAACGAGGCCCTAAGAAATTTAGACCCTGTCTCAAAAAATAAATAATGGCTGGGTGTTGAGGGCCACAGCCGAGTCGGGATGCCGCATGGCATCTTTGCCAGAAGTAGTGGTTGAGAGGTGACGCCAGCGAGCTATTAAGATGATGACTTTTGAGTTCTCGCGGAGTTCCCATTGAGTTCCGGTTGAGCTCTCGCGGGGATTCCTGGTGAAGTTCCGGTGGTGGGATTTCTGGTTGGTGGTTCCTGGAGGAGACGCGTGGGTGGCGTTTGGGAGAGTTCCCTGCTGAGAGCCATTGCCAAGTAGGAATGACGCATGGCAATTTCTTTGTCAGCCTACCCAATGTTACTTAGTGGAAGGACTCTCCATTGTGGAAATGGGCTTGCCTTAGACCCAGGTCATTTGCAGTGACATTGCATGAATGTTTGAGAAAGGTGACCCTACTCAAGGACCAGGGTGGATCCGGTTTTAGGGAGGATCCTGCTGGATTAGGGTGGGTCCAGGTTTAGGGTGTATCCTGCTGGGAATAGGGAGTATCCTGCTGCCTCAAGCGCCTGCTCCTTGGGTTTAGGGCGGTTCCAGGTTTAAGGTGGACCCTGCTGGGAATAGGGCGTATCTTGCTGCCTCAGGTGCCCACCTGCTCCTTGAGTTCCCGTTGAGTTCTCTTGGGATTCAGAGAGTATTTTGGGATGCAGAGCCGAGTGGAGGTGGATTTTTCCCAGAACGTGTGTGTAGAGTGCCAGTGAGAGGTCGGGAATAAAGACTTGCTGTTTGAATAAAGACTTGCTGTGAGTGGCTTGTGATTTTGTGCCCAGCCAGACTGCGGCATTTGGTGGCCCGTACGGGGAACGTCTAAAGCTTGGAGGTAAGTGAAATTGCTCGCCCCTGAGGGAAGGCGAGAGAATGGGTGACCATTTAAAAAAACAATGTGTTCTTGTTTTGATTTATTTTGTTTTTGTTTCAAGCTGCCTATCCCTAGAAATTTCTCGGGCAAACTGGGAAAAATGGTTGGCTCAAGGTTTGAAGTTTGTCGGCCCTGAGGAAGAGAAAATTGATATAACGATTTTTTTATTCTGTTTTTGTTTCATTCAGTTTCGGTTTTGTTTTGTGTTATCTTATTGGGATGCGTTATCTTTATAGTAGATTAGAAATTAGTAAAAAACAAACTGAAAGAATGTTAAGTAAATTGTTAGAGGTTCAGACCATGGAGAAAGACATTTTAGATCAAGCAAAAGAGAAGGTCTCTCGAGCTAGTCAGACAGAGGAAGAAAATTTAAAGGAAAAGGGGCTATTAGGAAAAAGGCTACAACAGGAGGCTGCTACTAATTCCGTTCTATCACCAGAGGGCGTAATTCAACCAACAGCTCCACCTATGGAGACAGCTGAGTGGCCCTCAAATCCCGTAGTTGATAAATGGGATCCTGAGACAGGACCTCAAAGATTAGCATGCCCTATACTTGAGCAGACAGGAGGGCAGTGAATTCACCGTGCTTTAGATTTCAAAACAGTGAAGCAGTTAAAGGAGGCTGTAACAACCTATGGTCCCCAAGCACCCTTCACGGTAAGCATGGTCGAATCCATTACCAACTTGGACATGATGCCAGCAGATTGGGCTAGCATGTGTAAATCTGTGCTAAATGGAGGACAATATTTGTTATGGAAGGTTGCCAATGAGGAATTTTGCACGGAGACAGCTAGGCGAAATGCAGCAGCCGGTTACCCTCAAAGAAATCTAGATATGTTGTTAGGAAAAGGACCTTATGAGGGTCAACGGCAACAAATTGAATATGATCCTGCTATATATGCACAAATTGCTGCAGACGCAGTTAGGGCATGGAAGACTTTACAAGGACATGGAGATTTACAAGGTCAGCTATCTAAGGTAATACAGAGAACTAATGAACCTTACGCTGAATTTGTAGATAGGCTTATTCAAACAGCTTCCAGAATTTTTGGGGATACAGAACAGGCAATGCCATTAATAAAACAACTGGCTTATGACCAAGCAAATCGTTGCTGCAGAG